TGCGGGTATTCAAACACCCAGCGGCAGGGACTTGCATAAATGGATTCCTTGACATTTGAGAACAAGAGAACGGTGGCATAGGTCATGAAGTCCGATTTATAGGAGTCATGCAATTAGTTCAGCGAAGGAATCCAAACAGGGATTATAGTAATCAAAAACCAGAAGGCTCCACACCTACTAGTCGCTGCAAACAAGGAAGGACTTCTGAAGTCACTCAACCAAATCCCTTACATTGAAGAAGGCTCGCAAGACACAGGCGGAAACAGCGGTGCTGGTCAATCGTCCGATTGACCATTTTGTGGCGCGCCGTATTGATGAATCATGCTTTATGCTGTTTTCCAATGCGTAAGCCGTTAAAAAACAGAATTTCTTTAGGATCAAAAATGGTTAGCATTATGGAAGAAAAATGCACGACAAGACGCATCATTCACCAGCCAGCCGAAATTCGAAATGCTATCAAAGGATTGAAGGATAAGGATAAAGATGGTAAATCGAAGGAGGGCAAAAAAATCGTTAGCACAACGCCGGGAGGTAGGATATCTCATGGCCATTTCCTCTATGACGGGAGTCATTTCAGAACATACCGACCAGTGTTTTGTCGAGCAGCCGCACCACGTTCTTAGCGGCCTGACAGCGGCAGTCGAATCGCAGAAAACAGTCGACGAATGCAAATGTCTGTGCGCAGAGAGTATGGCTCTGTACGACTTTGCCTGCATGTCTAGTCAGTACGACTGGAATACAAAGGTTTGCCTCTTGAACAACGCCAATCGCATTCTCAACCCGAAACGCTTCTACGAGGTCACAATTCCTGAAGTGACCGTCAGCTACTTCGACTTTATATGCACAGGTAGAGCTGTTTAAATGAACCATCAGTGGAAGCTTTCACAATGATCCCTTGCTACTGCCTTATATCAATAAACTTGCTAACTAAGTTTGCTTTTAGAAGACAAGGCAAGAGCTTATATATCTACAAAGTGCAAGAAGCTTCGTTATTCCTCAAACAACCAGTTCCGAAACCCGAAGTTGGTACTGCCAGAAGGTACGTTGAAATAGTGATTCATTAACATATAGCCTCTTGTTTTTGTTCAAGTTTCGCTTTTGCAGCGATTTACCAGTTTTGATTGCTTTTTTGCCTACTGTGAAGTAACAGACGAAAGGAGCAAACTAATAGTTGCATTATGATCATATCGTAGGCAAATGATAGTTTGCTGATATAACAAATACGGTAAGAGTTGGAAGATATGTGCTTTGCATGTGATATTCAGTTCATTTGTCGAATTATGATGCAGCACAGAAACAAAACACCGTTCAATCCTTTGTCATTTGAAGCTTAGGGATTTACTACACGTTGCTCATTCGGTAGTGAGTCGGGCTCGAAACTCGGGTCCTGAGTTCGAGACCCCATCAGAGTCGCTCACTTTTTTTCTTCAGAGGTTGATAAATGAGTACCACTCTGTTAAGAAGAAAGGTAAGACTGCATACTATGCTTGCCACATAGTTGCTATCGATGCTGTCGTCTTAAGGATTAAGGCACTCCTGCATCATGACATCTAAATGATGAAGAGCGCCCCCAACATTAATTTCACAAAACGAAGGGCGTCAAAAATGACTCCATCATGTAAGTTTAAAGCTTAAGCTAGATCGACAGTCCAACGATTGCAAACCTTCCATTTTCAAGAAGAAAGAACGGAAATACAGTTCTGTTGGACAAAGGAAGAATACATGTACCATCACTAATCATGCAACTCTGTGGCTCTAAGAGAAGAAATGTCTATGATTGCAACAAGCGGCAGCTACTGAGTGTCATAGTTTGTGCTACCGCCTCCTTGACCGCCACAAACAAAGTTATTTACGTTATTGCGCAAATTCAGACTCTCAGTTCGCCTTAATTGGATTATTTGGACTGGCCGGTAATTGGCGATGAATCATGAAAGCTGTGCAACCGCAATTTTTCTCGGTTCTGAGCATTCGCCCTCTAAACATAGCCGTCCCGGCTCTGAAATAATCTTTTCACCTTCGCAGTGAGCGACCAAGCAACCTAGTTTGCCCGCAAGGGTACCAGTGATAATCATTGCTGACCGTCACCCATAAGTGAGCCAAACAACATGCCGGTCCAACGTAGTTCTCCTTTCTGCTTTTGACGAGGTCCTTCACTCGACCTTCGTCGTTCACTCCCATCCGTTATCTGATCAACCCCATGGGAATGTGGTCGAAAAGCAAAATTCCTGGCATTCTTTTTCCATGCCTCTCTCAGTGACAGATAGCTGGTATTCTTCGGCATTAGTGAGTGACCATGTTTAACAGCCATACAACACTGCCGGAAGGAGGTAGAATTGAAAAGGTGGGTTCTGGTTTGTTGATAGAGGTGATGTTGCGGAGGAGGGCATCCTTGGTTGAGTGGAACGTGCGCCAACTGGTACTCTTTCTTCGGTCAGTCTCTCTAACCTGATCTTGCCGCATGTTGGTTTCATGACCCGGACAAATGCATTTATCGACTTCAATCCTTTCGCCCTTTAACATAACTTTGGCCTTCGACAGAGCATCTGATTATAATATCTTCGCCTATGACCGACTGATATGCAGTCTGACTTCGGCAGTGTTTTTTCGAGCTTTTGCAGCTTGTCTTGTAGCTTACTGACGTTTTCTCCAAACAGTGCCACCTCATCAGCGAACCTTAGGTGGCTGAGCTGTTTACCATTGATGGTAATCCCACTCTTCCAGTTCATCACCCGGAACACCAGTTCCATAAATGTAATTCGGAGTTTGGAGGGAGATGGTGTCCGTTTGTTTCACACCCTTCTCTACGGAAATCCTGAGGAGCGTGGCGTAGAGCGTGATGTTCGTGAGACAGTCAGAATTTGCTTCTTTGGCAGGTTGATGTAACAGGTGTCGAGGTCCGTTTTTACCAGTGCAGTTCACACTGCATTATGCCAGATAGTGTTGAACGCTTACTTGTACTCGACGAACGCTATGCACAGAGGCAACTAGAATTTCCTCACGCGCTCAAGGAGTTGATTTAAGGAAAAGATGTTATCCACTGTGCTGTAGCTTCTTCGAAATCCTGAGTGTTGCTCAGTTAGACTTATTGGTAGTCCGTTAGTGTTGGACCGTTGATGTTCTATTAGTGAAAAACTTAATGGGACTTTTAAATGGCCAGGGAACAATAAGGCCAGGGTCTGCTAAAGCGTTCCAACGCGTCTCTTGACCTACTCTGATCATTTCAATTATTAGGCCGGCACTCGTTTGGGTTTTTCCTTCATTACGGTATGCTAAGCTTGACCGTGAATGAGCTTCCTTCTGGCTGTTGGAGAGAAAGTGTAAGAACGCGTGACCTGAGGCAAAAAGCCTCATACAAAAATTCTTGATGATATACAGCATCTCAGTTCTGTCAGACACTAATGCACCATTTACGATTCCTCAGCTCCATGATAATCGACTGATACGGCACTAAACCTTTCCTGCATTGTCTGAAGCTTCTGCGGTCTACAGCTGTTTTATCGAATTTTCCAGTCTGAAGGACTCAAAGTTCTCTTTCAGCTTTCATCTAATGTGCTTGTAGAGAAGAGCATAGTGCACCGTGTCGAGTCTTATCTTTCTTCATCCTCCTTTGCTTCTCTAGCAAACTCTCTGTCTTTTCTGAGATCCTTCCTTTTGATTTCTAATGTAACTGTCTGAGCGATATATATGCATCTCTCACGTTAGCCTTACAACAGAAATAAAATGATCATATATGTGCAATCGCAACAAAACGTGAGATAATACTACTCAAAATGTACGATAACCTGTTGTGATGGATATTTTGTCTACAGAGAAGCATGAACTCTTCCCGGTGATTACTCCAATGATATATTTATTACTTATAACTGTTTTATGTTCGCACACTTTCGCTGCCTTATTTGCCACTCATGTTATGTCATTTGGAAAAACTGTTTTGAATTCAAATATTTGGACGAATTAAACTGTTAAATTTGCATAGATCTGAACGAAAAGGAAGGCCTGTATTTAAATGAGCATGTGAAGGCTGATGGCCCCAAAAAATCGGAAAATCCTGTGCATCTGAAGCAAAAGTTATCAGGAAATCGCATTGACGATGGAATCATCATTTCTGGCCAAGACAAAAAGTCGTTGATTATTTCGCCAGGTATTTTATTTATTTTATAATCAAGAATCATGTGATTGTAAACTTTGCTCGATGCGAAATGCAAGTGTTTTTTACTGCTGTTATCTCTTTTTATCAATTGACTGCCTGATGAATCGTCATATTGGATCCAAGGGGTAGACGACATCATTGAAAATATTCACAGGTTCTTTCTTTAGGTATTCCCCAAGTCTTTCCGTCCAGGGTTTGGAAGATTTATCTCAGAATTCCTCGTAGAGACATCTTTGTCTATATGAAGAAGTCTTAAAATCCGTGATTACTACTGCCACGTTAACTGATGTTTTCCGGGTTAATAGCAGAATTTCAAGCGCTAAGAGAGCGCCTTCAACTGCATTTCGCCCTGATGGCATACTCTGATCGTGGACCATTTGCTGATGCGAGGAAACAGAGATAACATTTTAGGAGACACACAATCAGGCGTGTAAAG